TTGATGTAGTCAAGGTTGTAGGAGCAACAGTTTCATTTGAGGAAACAACTGAATATTCCTGCAATTCTTCAAAGTAATTAAAAATGTTATCGTGGCTAGTTAGCGATTTTTGATGATTTCAAATATAATATTTAAATTGATTGAATCAAAATATTCTGTAATTAATTGTTCCTATATACGCAGCAGGCAAGCCTCGATATGAATACTCTGAGACGAATAACTGAGAGGATTCAAAGTATATAAGGCAGACAAAAAATGTCAGTTTTTTACATTCTTTGAAGCCATTTTATCCACTGAAAAATCCGCGTATTGTTGGTTCAAGAGAATTATGAGATATTGATTTATTGGGCAACCTGCTGCAAGCAGTTCTATTATTCCCCCTTAGAAAGCATGAGGCAGGGTAGCAGGTACTGGTTCTATTAAGAGGATACTAGGAGAAATAGAGCGTTCAATTTGTCCCAATAATCAAATGTTCTAACCAATTGCTCCTTAGAATGTTTCAAATATCAGCTTATCACAAATTGTCAATTTATTGAAAACTCACCTTTTTTCAAGAAGAACCAGTGCACATTCAACAATGCACAACAAACTGGCAGTCAGTAACTATGACCTCCAGGTGTTGTGCACAACACAATTTAAAAATGTTCTAAATTCACCATGCAATCAGAAAATACGAAAAGGCCACACAAATAGAGCCGAACTTGTATATTAACGCATGAATTATAAATTGTCTATCGTCTAGCTAGGAACTGCTGCTCAGTTGTATAGGCGACAGCTCTGCTACAACGACAGCTTCTTATATATGCGCCGTTCTTGTAGAAGCCTGCTTGTGAAATTATCCTAACAAGTCAATCTCCAAAGTATGTGGACCTGCAAATGCTTGTTTGTACATTATCAGTGTTTGCGCTGTTATTAGAGAGAAACCAATTTCTAAAAATATACCTTTTCCTCAACCCATTGAATTATAAAGTCTTTAACTCATCGCATGTCAAAAATTTGCTAACCAACAGTCAAACAGAATAGCCATAATAAATCAAATTCTAGTATTGCATCGGAAGAAAATTAATTTTCCGTAGATCGTAGATTCGCGAAACACCTTCGGCTGTGACTGCCTCCTACATAAATTTAGATATTCAACATAGACAGGGTGTCCAACAAAAACGTTTCAATTCAGTCAATGAACTTTATTAAGAAATCAATTGATTCCTTTAGCAGCGAAGTCCTCAATAATCTTCAAAGGTAAATTTGTTAACAGATATCGTTTGGTTACCAGTGAAGTTGCTGAAAGTTCATTAATAACTTCATTTCATTGTTAAGCTAAGCTTTACTGTCATCGAAAAGGTTAGGTTTTGTTATAATTGCGTAGGTTGACAACCCAATTGTGGCTCCGTACAGCGGCGTGTAGCCCGTGTGTCCAGCGCATGACGTGGCGTGTAGCCCGTGTGCCGGGCGCATGACGCGGCGTGTAGCCCGTGTGCCGGGCGCTTGACGCGGCGTGTAGCCCGTGTGCCGGGCGCATGACGCGGCGTGTAGCCCGTGTGCCGGGCGCAAGACGCGGCGTGTAGCCCGTGTGCCGGGCACAAGACGCGGCGTGTAGCCCGTGTGCCGGGCGTAAGACACGGCGTGTAGCCCGTGTGCCGGGCGCAAGACGCGGCGTGTAGTCCGTGTGCCGGGCGCATGACGCGGCGTGTAGCCCGTGTGCCGGGCGCATGACGCGGCGTGTAGTCCGTGTGCCGGGCGCAAGACGCGGCGTGTAGCCCCTGTCTCTTATACACATCTAGATGTGTATAAGAGACAGGTTTTAGATAGTTATTATTTATTGTTTTAAGAATTTAAGANGTAGCCCGTGTGCCGGGCGCTTGACGCGGCGTGTAGCCCGTGTGCCGGGCGTATGACGCGGCGCATAGCCCGTGTGCCTTGCGCTTGACGCGGCGTGTAGCCCGTGTGTCGGGCGCATGACGCACGGCCTTCAGGCGTCAGTCAGCGTATGAGCGCCCCAATGAAGGCGTTCATTTCCCGCTTCTCGGAAAACGCAGATTGCTGCGAGGCTGATTTAGGGTTACTCGCCCGCATGACCTGACTCAAGCATGGACATTTTATGGGGCAATTCGGAGTCTTGCGCGTTGATTGCTTCAAGTTTAGGGGAGCATTGATCGTTTTTCATCCATTCGTTCGATTCCCATCATTAAGCCCGTCTAGGAACTTGTTCGTTATTGAGGTGTCTTCTTATCGGCGCTATTCATCTATAAGGCAATTTATGGGCCTCGTGTTTTCAACTCAATAAAATGTTATGGTTCTGCCTGTGTATTTGAAGAGATAGTTTACAGGCGTTATTGTATAGTAATTTTAGGTCGTTTACTTATGTTAAGAATGCAGAAAATTTTTTTGGTTCTAAGGTGTTTAATGTTTCCATGTTGCAGAAACATTGTTTGGGCGAACTAAGTGAATTTTATCTATCAGTATATAGTTTATCTAGATTAAATCTGAATTCTCGCTGGAAGGCAAACAGAGCTAATCTATTCTAAATAAAGTGAAAATTTTGAGAAAATATGATCAAATTGGGAAAATTGCCTATGCATGTCCACAAACTATATATATTCCGACATTGAATAAAAGCAAACTTTGCTACTGTATTCATATAACTTTACACCTCGTTGCCAGATAGAAACTAAAAAATTATGATTACCTAAACTTATTCTATCTTTGCAGTCCTAATCAACACAAGAATAAAATTTCAACCCCATTCCTGAACTTAGAGAAATAAGGTTGCGTATATGTTGCAATGCTCTGACATTCTCGCTTGATCAGATTCTCAGTGAAACACTCGCTCATAAACTGCGCTGATCCTTTTCATGCTATGCAGCTGAGCTGGAAATGCCGTGTGCTCTGTAATTAAGCCCGGTGCTGTTCTTATGGCCAAGCTTTTTACTTCCTTGCGCAGGTCTTTAGCAATCGCTTGGGAATAGAATTGAACGGCTCCAAGTACACTACTTATTACCTCCTCCACAAATGCTGCGGTCGGAACCTGCAGATGAAGCATATATACAGCAGGTGCAGAGAGTCGGTTGTGGCCGGTGTAGTGGTCTACTGGCAGCTTTCGGCTAGTTTCTGGAAAATTTAACTCCAAATTCAAGCCTCCCGCGATTATTTTACACGGTAATCACACCCGTGACACCAAAAATTGTTGTCCTAAGCACTGCTTTATGAGGCACAACTGTAATAGTAGCAGCACATAGTATTAAATCTTAGAGAAATGAGCCCCCAGGTGGCTACTCCGTCAGACCCCATGGTTGAATTAATATATTAATTCAACCATGGTCAGACCCTAACCGCTGTGAGCGCATGCAAGCCGCGGCGTCCCATGCATGGCTGCAGGATGCAGGCCGCTGCGCCCTCATCCACTGCGCTCACCTTGGCCTCAACGCAGCGATATTTGCACCTTGCCCGCTGGTCTGGTTTCTTAGATTTATACAAAATTTGATTATTCACGTTGGTAAATTATTTAGTTTCATTTTAACTTCGTGAACCGTAAGTTTGTGACGGCAAGTGACATCGAATTATTTCAACAGACACAAGATTATCTGCAACTCGCTAAACCCCAAATACGGATAAAATAGATTTTATTATTTGATTCAGTTGATTATAAAAACATGAAGAAATGTGGTTGAAACTTAAACATTTCTATAGGTTCAACTTTCTTAAATGGATCTCATATTCGCAATAAACTAAAATCAGCCGCATCGTACCGAATTTAATTGCATTATCATCAATAAGAATTGAATTACAAATTCCTTCCTTTTTGCCTCGTTTAAATTGAACTACGTATTTTAATTTCTCGATTAATCTCGAACTTAACCAAACCAAGCATTGTGCTCAAGATGCAAACTCCGATACAAGCTGGCGCGGGGGCGCCGCCCCTCCCGACTATTACCGCAGAAGTTGGGCAGGTTTGCTGCGGTTCTTCTACGGCACGCCGCGCCCCAACCGCGGCCGCGTAGCTCCAGTGAGGTCAAATACGCGCTTCCGCAACCCAGGGTGTAGAATTACAACAAAGCTCTCAGGATTGCCTTTTTCCTCGTTGTGATGTTGACGTATCGAATGCGATCTTTTCCATATAGAGCTCTATAGCCAGCGCTCAATGAATATTGAAGTAACCTTTAACGCTGCCCAAGTACAACACTCAGACCCGTATAGGTAGTGTTGTTTGAGAGGTCTCACATTTCCCCGTACAATGGGGAAAAAACGTCCTTGATTGACCCCCCTCCATTTGCAACAAATGCCTCACGATCCTCACGTCTAGACTTTCACAAGCTAGCTATCGTCGCCGACTTGTTATATGCTCTCGTTTCGTAACTAAGTTACCTGGTTTTATAACTTAAGTTTTCTGTCATCTTGTTTCTGATTTGGTTGCCCGCGAGAAGCCGGTAAACTTTCCCTGAAGTTTATCAGAGAAAAGTTTAGGGTTTTATGGTTTACTGCGAATCAATATTTTAAGTGTTGTGTGTAGGGAAAGAAAATTATTTTAGTTTATACATGTCTAGGTGACTCGAAAATAATGGAAAATTACTCGGTCATTTCATCTCCTGCGTCATTTCGGCGCCAGCGGGTAGCTTGCTTCGGCTTCCTCAATCTTTATTTTGATATGCTTATGAGTTTGTTACGGTTTGCTCAGATTTCTCGACCCTGCATGTATAAGGATTGCGCAGTTTTTTTTTCTTCGAAGTATGATGAGCATTTTTGGCAACTTGCAAACGTTCAGTAGAGCCTAGAGGTGATACCAATCGATATGAAGGGGAAGAGGTTTGCCTCAATATGAACTTGTTTTAAACTATTTGTTTTTGCTGAGAAACAATAATGAAGTGACACATATTTTGTCTGGTATTTCAGCCGTGCTGCGTCGGAGGCGACGCAGTTGTGACAAGCGTGGTTGCAGAAGCAAACTCTATTCATCAAGCTTCTTTCTACCCATCATCCACCCCAGTCACCGTCTTCCAAGCGTCCCCAAGAAAAGTCTCCAGAAGAAACTCAGCTTACTCAAGATATTACCACAGAAAAAAATCATCTTACTCACGAAATTGCTGCTACAGAAAAATCTCGACTTGCTCAAGAAATGCCTATAGCCGAAACTCATCTTCCTCAAGAAGTTATGCCGGAAAAAAATCAGCTTGTTCAGGAAATTATTCGGCAAGAGCAAATTTTACCTGTTCAAAATGCCGTTTCTGTTCAAAACAATGAAAATTTAACTGACGTTTTCGACTTGCCGAAACTGGAACATAAATTTGGTGGTAACAATTATTCATCTGTCAATAGTGAAGTTTCTCAAGATCGAAACAATTCTGTTCAAGATAACGGGTCTATTGGATCACAGTTGGGGAAAATATCACTTGATTTAGCAACTTTGTTTCTGAATTCCGATCACCTTGAGTCTTCAAGTGTGACTGACGCACCCTTACTTAATGCAGCTAACTCCCCTTACAACACAACTGCAGAATCACCAGTAAACGAAATAGATTCTCCTAATGACGATGAAGATCTCCTACTCGAAGACACAACGACGGACGAGGTCCTCCTCGATGAGCTGCCCTCCAGAAGGGGCGTGCTGCAGGTGCGCATCACGGAGTTCCTGAACCCGTCCAACAAAGACGCCGATGGCGACTGCTGCATGAAGGACTCGGCGTCCTCCTCGTGTGGCGGCTACTGCAGGCTCTTCTTCAGGTGAGCTTCCCATGCATTCAAACGCCAGAATCTTCAACGCAAAGGAATGAACCACTGCATGCAATCACATTCATATCAGTCGAGTTAATGAACATTATGCAATCTTATTCATTTAGGACAAATTAAGCATAGTTATCACAAATATTGATGGGTTACTTAATGAATTGATCTCTACCGCTAAGTCTCCGCTTTGCACTTAAACTTGATCAGTGATCTGTAAATAAAGCCGAACCTTTCAATAACCTTCTTGTCCATGTGTCATTTTTGGTGTAACTGTCATTCTAAAATATTTGTTATTTCCAGGATGTGATGTAACTAACTTAATAAAGTGTTTTTTCTTCCTACCTCAAAACTGTGTTTGTGTCTAGGGTGTGTGCGACCCACAGCTCCCGGAACGTGTTACTAGCGCAGCCTGCCACACCGCCCCCGCAACAGCCGCCGATCTTCCTTCCGACGACCCTGCCTCCCGAGGACCGCACCGACAGCAGCAGCCGAGGCCTCTTCTCCATGCCGAGCCTAGAGGCTGTGCGCCATAAGATGATGAGGAGCAGACGCGTCATGGGTGCTGCTGAGGTGCTCCCTTCTGCTAAAAGGAAGGTGGAAGACAGAAAAGATTTTGACCCCAACGTGCCTTGCACTCTTGGGCTCATCGTCACCGAGGTCGTCGCCAACAGCTCCTTGAGAGCCAACGTCGAGGGAGCTCTCGACATCACCTTCCCCTTTACATCTGACTGGCCGGTCAGTGATCATGTATTGCACATTACTATTATTATTCATTATTTGTATCGTTGTTAGTGAGAGAATAACACATGTGTGATATTTCAGCAGCGATTACTTCACTACGCAAAAAGCTAATAGTGATAATGCTTGCTTCAAAGAGTCTTTCGCGTAGAAATCTTTCTAATTGCCAATATTTTTTCTGTGCGAACGATTTCTTGTAGTGCGGGTGATTTATTGGAATTTTTCCTAATGTTGTCCCGAACATCAATTTCTGTTTCTAAGAAAATTCATTTTTCAACTTCAGCTACCAAAATAATTCATATTATTGGTGGTAGGCTGAATGTACAGACATTCTAACAACATAATGAGTGCATTTTCAAATAGGCTACATAGCAACGGTTTCGAAACAGAGGTTGAGACAAGTGGCACACATCCGAGCATACAGTAGCCATATAAATATTCAATGAATCAAATGTTGAAAGGAAATCAAACAATAAGTTGGATTAATGACATGGAACACAACCAATTCAGTCTTGCTTGGTTAGATCTCATTGGGATCTCTTTTTTTTCTGTACCATTTTAGTACAAAAACTCTGATCCTTAATCTGTCGGCCATCAGCGCAACCTGCGTACAAAATTTACTTTCCTGCTATTGAGCGGGATCAAACAAACCTACAATTGTATTAAAACTTAAAAAGTATTTGTGGGGATATGCCCAGTTATAAGCTGCCGTTAACGCGTTTACGTGTCGCAGGTGAGCTTCCGCGTGATCATCGAGGCGTGGCACGACGTCACGGGCTTCCTCTTCAACTCGACTCAGCCTCCCTTGTCCGCAGGTACAAACATGGCTACCTTTTACCAATAATAAAATAATACGAGGGTATGTAATGGTGAGTATAGCATGGCTGTGAAATCGGCAATAACGTAATCACAGATATTCTTATGCCACACATAAACTTTTTTTTAATTATGAAGTTAATGCTTTGACCAATATTGCTCGAAACTTATGGGTTTCATGAAACCTTCACATTGAGACCCTCAAGACTGTGGGTCCCCCAGAACTAATTTCAACGTATTGCGAATTTAGAATATTTTAATGTTGCCCATTTGCTGCCCGGAACCTAGGAATTGCGATTTTCGAAGTTCTTAGTTAAATTTTACAAGTACATGTTTATCGCAATCTTCAATTAATAAGCTGGAGAAATCCTTATGAAAATTGCGATTTCACTTGCCGCTCTCAAATTTATATTCCAGTTCACCACCACTCATACGTGGAAGAAACCCAGTAAGATGTTGCTCTTTAATAAATTCTTATTCCATGATGCTAGAAACTAGTGGCATAGAGACATATAGGATACACGAGTGTGTAGAAATAGCCTTCGACTTGTTCGCATTTCTTGGAGGATTTTCATTAAGCTAGCTATTGCCCATCAGAGGGATTTATTGTTTTCCCACGCTGGTCATGCATCACGTTTTCTCGAGCCCCTGAATTTTTAGCGCATTTTCTCATTTATGAAAAATAGGCGCTATTGTGCTCGTCATGTTTGTCTTTCTCTCTGTCTGTCCGTCCGTGACTTCACGTTTTCGTTTACGAGGAAATGCGCTCTCTGTCACTCACTGCAGTGAGTACTGAGTTATATTTATTTATCGTCATCAGATATAAATTATAAGCTCATTATTACTTATATTAGAATGCAATGTTTCCGGGGTTTTGAGCGCGAGTTTGTTTTTTATGCAAACTTTCCTTCGTAAATAACCTGTAAATTTGACCTCTTTTCTGTCCAATAACTGCTTCAATAAAACAGTTACTTATTCTTCACCAACACATTTCTTAATCATCAATTGTCATCATTTATCGGTTCAAACCCGGAAACTTCGATAAAATCCAACAACAATTTGAGGTATGAGATTCTACACACTTTTTTTTTACATTAGCCATTCAAAAATCCCCAAAACGCATGGTTTATTAGAAATATTGAAGTCTGCCGATTCCTCACTGACATATGCCTGGTGGTGGCCGCAGACCGGGCAGGAACGCTCGTGGCGCGTCATGCGTCGCGGCTGTCGGTGGTGGCAGGGCAGGCGTGGCAGACGCAGCGACGCGTCATGACGCACGCCGCCAGGTAGTAGATGCCGCAGGCGCAGTGAACGCAGCGCGGGATGCGGCCCCGAGCGACTACGCTGCCCGTGAGTACCTGTACTCTCATTTTGTCTTGACTTTTCTGTAACTAATGTTTCCTTGGAGCCTCATCCGTCCGCGCCTGCTGCCAGTGAGTACCTACGCCAGTTCTCTAATTTTATCGTGACTTCTCTCTAATTTTTTATCAATTATGTTAATTTGGTTTTGGTTTGGACAAATATTTCGTCTAATCCGAGTTTTCATGTTTCAGTAGTTGTTAAGTTAAGAACCTTAGTAATTATATATTATTAGAAGTAAGCACATATGGCTCTGTAGATGCTCCCTATCATGGAGGTATCCACCCCATGTGTATTTATCCAGACTCAACGGTACGGTGACGGTTGAATATGGGTATGAGTGATGGGTGATTCTTTGCACTATTGGCAGTACTGCATCTGACATTGATGGGTATTACTTGAGACTATTATTGATTTGACGGAAAAATAAAAAAAGCACCATCGTCTCGCTGTATGTCATGTTGCGAGTTCATTCCCAGTCTTGGTTCGTGTGATATCTCAAGGTCAATGCGTCAGAATCACGTCATCTCGTCACTCTATAACAATCAGAAAAATTTATTAATTACAATCACGGAACATAGTGAAGCTTTCCTAGCGCCGCTTAAACTATGACCGTATTTTAATCCCCTAATCATTTCAATTATATAAAGTTGTTGCGATAAATCTAATCAATTTTTATTTCATAACTGACTCAGTGTTGCCTTAATTGAACTGACTATGAGGCACATCGTCTTTATTGTATAACAGGCACTAAAGCGGCTTAGGATCTTCACAAAACACCTTCTCTGTCACTGAAATGCAAGTATTTCCTGCCGAACTTACGGTGTATGGATTGAGCATCAGCCTTGATTGAGGATGGGTCTCATGAAGCAGAAGGAAGACAGCAGTCCTCGGGACGGCTGGTGCAGTAGGCTTTTCAAGTCTCCACTATTGTTCCAAAGATGAGGTTGTTACGACAAACTAATAGAGTGGATCCCATGACGTTTATTTCTGGTAAATGCAACATTTAGTCCCACGGGAACACTGTGTCATCCCAAAAAGCCCCTCCGGTGTGTCGTTTAAGTTTGGTCTTCACTTCCCAATAGGCGCTACTTTTTCTTAGACTATTGATTAGGAGTGCAGATGGGGAACATGCACATCGATAAATCAGCAAGGTGTTTTGTTTTGCTTTTCGAATGGAAATTTAAATTTACTGAAGCTACGTTACCTTATTAACTCTGAAGCTTATTTTAAGTTGCTTTAGGGAATATACCTAACTAACTTGGTTTGGTAAGGCTAATGTACCCAGATACTGGAGGGAATATACCCAGCAACCCAACTTTGTTTATAAAGGATGCAAACCAAACGTTCTTACGCCATGACTTGTCGCTAAGCGACATTTCATTACTGCCGTAACAACCTGATTCTTTCCGCGGGAAATGTATTCCTATATTATTAAGAACTTAGATGTCATTCATACCTTGAACATTTTTCAGTCCAAAACAAACTATTAACTTCGATGCCATGCTGCTGAATAATCGCATTTTATTTGTATACCAGGGGTGCCTGAGCTTATCATGGATGCAGGTAACCAATTATTTAATCTATGGCCTTCAAAAACAGCGCTCATCGCAGAAATTTTAGCTCGCGCCCTCAGGTCCGTGGATCCAAATTCGCATGGAACGAAATTGTCGGCTGCCTGGTTACCGACTACAAATTTAAACTACATGCTCGGCAAAGAAGAAATAATGAGTCTTAGGACGGGGATATTCTCATGAATTACAGCTAAACAAATCTCTATCCACTGGGCGATTGTAGGGATATTTGCTTGTGACTCGCCGGAATCGCTCGATCAATTCAGTTATCTGCCGAATTGTTTCTGAAGAAAGCAAAAGTTTGAAACTACGACCATTAGTCTAATGCTTCTATTCCCAGGAACTTTTTTCATGAATTTAAGCCAAACTGCTTCATTGAAGGACTAGAGCCTGCAGCATTTGCTGGCTGACGACGCGCGATGCGCCTGCGTGTTTGATGATTTCAATGCTTTCTGGTGGTCACTTTTCTTTATGAGACTTGAGTCCAAGACGTTACTTGCGTGCAGCTCAAATTTTCGAGCCTTCGTTGATTCTCTTCCTTCCATGCGGCATGCAGGATAAAAACTTGCATGGTGCAAATTCTGTATACGTTCCGTTTAAACCAATCACTGTTTCTAAATTTTAATGTAAATCAAATTACAAATTCAGACTAATCCATGAAGAATGGTACATCAAGCCTTCGTTTTTGTGGAAGGTCTTCTTCATCCTACTGATTCTGCTAATCAAGCATTTTTGTAAACTGTTTAGAGCGTTGTACTTAATTTAGAATATAAGAGACACTCAAATGTCTCAAACTGAGGGGACACGGTACTCCTATAATGTTGGATCTGAAACACAGACTCGAGAATTAACTTTTCTGCTAGAAGTACCAACCTAATATGAACATCCTATTTTTGTTTAATTCCCCCGCAAACGTTTCCTTTATTTTGAACCATAATAGGCGAGGACTTTGGTCGCCTATTTAGGTGTATTTCGGTGGAATTTCCGGCATGGTTGACATGAGACTCGGAACCGTGACCTCGTTGGTCCTGTGCAGCGCGCTTATATTCAGCGATAGGGATGAATAAGGTAGATAAAGCCTTGTTTCGACTCGCATATGACCTCATTTTTTTGGGGGGGACTGTGAAGATAAATTATTGTCTAAATCGTTATACACGCGCTGGCGTTGACTGGCATATGCCTCGTCACCGTATCTTGAGGATTTATTGAGTCGTCCAGTGAACGACATGCAACAAATCTGCTGATGGCAATACTTCGGACTATATTTGAATTTGAATCATGATATTATTGATTTAATATTTGTATGGGTTTTTCCTCCGTACATCACGTAAGGTTCAGCAACCTCGCGCGCTCAGCACTGACCTGCTGGCTTGGCTTGCAATGCTTTAAAGTATTCGTCAGTGGAGCAACTTCTTCAATAATAAATGTTCTCAATTTCTGCAGTCTCAATTGTTCTGCTTCTGCACACGCACATTTAATTGATTGGGCAATTTGCATTGTGTATATGAGTGCACTACTCGCGTTGCGTTTCTATGATCTTTCTCTATTTTACATCTCAAGGCCTCCTGGTCACTGGTCATTCTTGCACGCTACGTTGACGCCGCTAATCATCGCTGATCGATAATGATGATGATAGCGAGTTGGTGCAGGTCATCGTAATAGCGACAATCTTGTCTTAGTAAGAGTCTAGCTTTCGGGAAATGTTCTGTATGTTTTCATCGTTGTATAGACTGCAATTTGTTGGGTGATTATAGCGAGAGCCTTACATGCAGCAGGGAACCTCCACACAGAGAAATGCGTGGGACTCCGTCCGAATAGCAGTTGACTTTTTGCGCTCTTGTGGGTCAACTTGACCCGGTTTGGCCCAGCAAAAGGACGTATCAGTGCTACGTGCACTAAATGTCATTAATTGGCCAGTATGACACGTAAATTTTTTTATAGTGTGCCTGTATGTCGTTTTCTCTAGACTGATTTATTGCTAGATAATAAGTTTAAAATATTGACTATTGACTTGTAAGAATCTAAATAATACTACACAAGATTATGAATTGCTGGTGAACTACTGAATAATTGACCTTATAAATAATATTTAGCCCTTGATTGGAAGATCCTGTTCGTAATTATCCGTGGATTTATGTTGTACATCCAAATTACAATTGTTATCCTCCAAACACCCCTGGAAGGACAACAGTGAAACCCTTTCACACCGCGAGTGTCACGTCGTCTTCTATATCAATTAAGTCTGTTGGTGTTGGATTAACTAAGGCTTATGCTGGTGCATCTCAAAAACGCTTTGATTTCACTTACAGAATATAAAGTGATGCAGTGTGATTTGGGCGATATTATCAAACACAATTCTCCCATTTTATTCATTGGAAAGTATCAAAGGGTGTCAATCTTTATGGCTGGAAGTTTTTGAAATCCTTTAAAATTATATTAGTTTTTGATAGTTCTCGCTGCGGGAAGCTCAATGTGTCCAGTTCCTTTCACAGGAGAAACTGTTAAGAGTTTTATGGCCCTCGTGTGGTTCTTCTGCAACAACTTTTAGTGCAGCTGGCTGCCTCCTCGCCAACTATTGCAGGATCATAATTGTTTTAACAGTTTTACGAGCAACGTTCTTCTTTTGCTCTTCTTCATAATATTATAATGTAAATAAGAGCTGCAGACCCGCACTCAACAAGTTCATGGCCAAGCAACAGCCCCCCTCCTCCTGCCGAAATAATGTGCATGCATGCGTACCTGACCTTCCCCCGAGCTGGCTGGAATTCGTGCTATCGGCAACCTACTATTTTTGTAATGGCTGTTTGCGGGTCATATCGTTCCTCGATGTGGTCATTCTGTTTCCGCAACTTTCCTCGCATATGAAAAATTTGCCAATTCTGTTTTGTTGCGTTGAGTCTGTTTAAGAATATTTGGGGTTAAATAAATAATTCTCCAGTCTACAACTGGATGAAGAAATGGGCTGTCTGAAGATGCGTCTCTTGACGCAGAACCATGCGTCTTGATCATCACAATGGCACTAAACTTATTATGGGGAGTTCAACTTACACTCCTGGAGAAGAGTGAGGATTGGAAATGTGATGTGTTTACTGCATTGACAATAATTATTGGTCATACAGATTACTTGTGTAAGATTTCTGATTATGAAATGAAAGTATTATCCAGATATTAGCTTATAGCTCAGGACCTTGCTAAATTCACCGTGCGTAGCTAATGAAATCTAAGATTCGCTTGTTGAATAAGACGCCGTACATAAGAAATACGATTAACTGGCACTCCTATAGGGCCTATATAGCTGCCCTCAGCACCCCGGCCAACGATCTCATTTCCACCCATGAACTTTAGCAATGAAAATCT